TAGGAATATATATAGGTATACCTGTATCTCTATTAGCGGAGAACCTAGAGTAGGTTCTGAACCTGGAGTAGGAATATATATGGGTATACCTGTATCTCTATTAGCGGAGAACCTAGGATAGGTTCTGAACCTGGAGTAGGAATATATCTAGGTATACCTGTATCTCTATTAGCGGAGAACCTACAGTAGGTTCTGAACCTGGAGTAGGAATATATATGCGTATACCTGTATCTCTATTAGCGGAGAACCTAGAGCAGGTTCTGAACCTGGAGTAGGAATATATCTAGGTATACCTGTATCTCTATTAGCGGAGAACCTACAGTAGGTTCAGAACCTGGAGTAGGAATGTATCTGAGGATAAACTCTAGATACCCACCATAGGACGTTAGCTGAAATAAAATTCCATGAAACATATGGTTCTTTTTTACATTAAGTAGAATCAAAATTACCTACAAAGTATATGACATTCAGGATTGCCGAAAACTCTTTAAATCTGATGCTTTAAAGTTAAACTTTACTGCTTTGAATAAGGTAGAAACAAAACAGCTAAAGGGAACCAGGAATTTAAGAAGTTTTCTAAAGTCTCATCATTTCTGAGTGACAATATATGTTTCTTTTTATTCGGAAGTTTGAATAGTGTATTCCCTTTCAAGGTTATTTTATAGTTGTAAAGAATGTTTTAACGATTTCATTAATTATTTCATTATCATTATTTCATTATTTATTTCATTATTTATTTAATTATTTTATTTATGGTCTTAAGTAATATTGGATATTTGTTGGTCGTGTCTTTTATTCCATTCTTCAAGAGAAGAAAAGTATTCACCTTATTCCCCAGAAACTGATGAGGAAGTTTCCAGTAGTAAATTGTCTCCGGGTCCTCATCAAACCTGTCGTAAGATATCTCCTGTCTCTCTGTACTCAGAATAAGGTCAGATGAGTTAATATTGTATTCAAGGTTCTTGTCCGTCAGAGAGAACCCAAGATGGTCTTCCTGGAACACTGCTCGCTCCTAGAGTAATCTATTATTAAAAATACCCGGAGTATGAATACAACCCAAAGAATTCCAAACCATCCAAGATTCTTAAATCTGAAAACTCCACAAACGGTCAATTTTGTTTATCAAGAAAATCATAAAATCTTTCCAAGAGTCTAAAAATTTCCTTTAAAAACAAAGTCAATCTCTGATAGGGATGAGGACGACCAAAAACTCATACTATGTGACTATAGGAAGGTTTATTTTAGTCTTCTGCCTTGAATAAAGGATCTTTTTAATGTATATGAAATAATTTGGCGACTAAAGAAACAATTTTTTTAAGCTAAAGAGACTGCAAGAAGCATGATAATTAAATTTCGTACAATCGTCTCTGAATTTTCATTCTTTTTAGGTGACCCTGTAAGAATTCAGAAATTCACTGGGTCAGTGTTTGGATTTGAAATAAGGAAGCTGATTTAGATTTAAGACTAGAACCTTGTATCTGTAGAGTTGGCTGGGTTGGCAAGTGGTTCGATTACTCCGGGTGGGTATTCCCATACAGAAACAGTTGATGCATCCAGGTACACTCTCCTCCCTTGAGAGGAACTTGTAATCTCCACATCCACTTAGCTCGGCCTGGTTACAGTCCTCCCCTGTATATCCAGCCTTGCATCTAAAATCAAATAAATGGATTGTTAATGAAAATCAAATGAGGAATAAAACAAATTATTATTGGATTTTGCGTTGATAAATAACACTTTTTCTTCGAGCTGAGAATCCTAAGGCGCAACAAATCTTTAGGAAGCAGGGGAGTAATAATGAATAAAATAATAAAAAATGTAAAAAATTATAAGTAATAAAAAAAGAGAGAAAAAACAATTAGTAATGAAATAGATGAAAAATAACAAAACAAAAAAATAACATAACACTTTAGATCTAGCCTTGGTCAGAATTCATAAAATAGTAATTAATATTTATAAGTTTCTAATAAAATATTTTTTTTTAATGTACCTGCATCTGCCAGTGGTAGGGTTGGGTGATCTATCAAAACTGCCATCAGGATAGTTACAGGCAGGACCTGAAACCAGTATAATCAGTATAGTTTCAGACAGGACCTGAAACCAGTATAATCAGGATAGTTACAGACAGGACCTGAAACCAGTATAATCAGTATAGTTACAGACAGGACCTGAAACCAGTATAATCAGGATAGTTACAGGCAGGACCTGAAACTAGTATAATCAGGATAGTTACAGGCAGGACCTGAAACTAGTATAATCAGGATAGTTACAGGCAGGACCTGAAACTAGTATAATCAGGATAGTTACAGACAGGACCTGAAACCTGTATAATCAGGATAGTTACAGACAGGACCTGAAACCTGTAAATCAGGATAGTTACAGACAGGACCTGAAACCAGTATAATCAGGATAGTTACAGACAGGACCAAGGACCTGAAACCAACATTATTGGTTTCAGATACTAAACAAAACTTTTAAATCTAAAAGAATCTACAAATATATTACATATAAATCTAATTCCAGTAGAGATTTTTAGAGACTTAGTAGTCTTTTGATTCTAGTTAAAAATATTTACTTTATGCATAATATTTGAAGTGTATGAAGAATCGTTTAAAAATTTATCGAAAAAAGCATTCATAATGCTTTTGAAATATTTTGTGAAATATTTTCACCGCTAGTTTACATGTTGTTTACTTGATATCCTTATAAATCGGATAAAAAGAACACAAACACAGACAAAAATGTTTGATAAATTGATAACACTTTCAGCTGTAATCTTCAATAGAATAAAACACAGAAAATGAATATATATTTCACAATGATAATTTTCTTACAATACAATGAAGATATGCACGGGATAGGATAAAAAGTTTATTTATTACAGAGAATACAGTTTTGGTAAAAGACGCCATTTTTTTTACCATGTCTACTGTGACCCCTGATACAGCATGTACACTGTAACCTGTTAGAACAGGTTCTAAACTGTACGCTGTGTACATTATATACTGCGGGGTTACCCACAAAGAATGAGACTTTAACGACAACAGTTGAATTTTAAAATATTTTCTTCTTCATTAAAAAAATAATAAATGATCTTTGAAAAGTTTGAATATAATTACAACTGCAGAGAAACTCAAAAATTCTGTGCAGTCCATCTTTGAAACCTAATCCCTTGTGGGTAACCCTGTCAAATTTATTAATAGCTACTTTTTAAACCTATAATTTTATCTCTGAAGGATTTGTTTAGAATAAAAACGGAGTAGACAATTAATCCGTGGTATATGACCTTTACAAGTGTATCATCACTTTTTATAAAGGGTATTTTCCCTCTGCATATCTTCCTTGTTAGTATACGATACAACCCTAACTATTACATAATATTCGTATAATCACTCGTTTATATAAACTTCGTGGACAAAACAATTGAGACATAAATAGGATTAAAATTTAAATACCCAATTCAATATTTCCGACATTTACACAAAATTCAAATAAAAATTACAAGAATACCTTTCAGGTAGGGGAACCAGAAAAGGACGAGACTTAAAGGGATTGTTCACGGAAAATGAAAGGGGGTAAAGGATTACGGCGAAAAATAATCGCTTTCGATTGCTACTAATCCTACTTCTATCTGTAGTGTCTATAAAATTGTTAAAAACGACTTAAACTGAAGAACGTGTAGTGTTCATACATACTAAAAAAGTTGCAATATACGACTTGGATCGTAAACAAATCAATTTAATTTCAAACAAATCATTCAGATATTACAACCTGTATACTCATCGATTATTTTTCTACTCATTCGTATATACAGGGTGTCCCACGAAACATGACAGTTGGTAAATAGTAAAGAAAGTCGTCTTCCATATACTTTATTAGATATTAAATGATTTTTGCAGTTTATTAAGTTAAAAATATCTTTTTCCGAAATTTATTTTACTTTCAAGCCAATTTTACCATAACATGACTCCCATATAAAATTTGTATTGTCTAATTGGTATCAAACAACTTAACAAATTATAGAAGAAGACATTCTAAACTATTCACCAACTGTCATGTTTCGTGGGACACCCTGTAGTTAATATTTCATAAGATTTTTTATTCTTTTTGTATACAATGCACATAAAACGCCGAAATAGTTGGCCGCTAAATATCTCTGCTCTTGTTGCCTTGAATGATTACATGTGACAGAGACACCTAGCGGAAAAAAACCGTTTTAAGTGTATTGTATATAAAAGAAAGAACAAATTTTATGAATTATTAACTATATACGAATGCGTCGAAAAATAATCGATGGCTTTATGGTTCAAATATTTGAATGATTTGTTTGGAATTAACTTGACTATTTTACGATACGAGTCAACTTTCTGAATTTGTATGGACACTACGTTCTTCAGTATCAGTTGTTTTTAACAATTTTCTCTTTATAGACGCAACAGATAGAAGTAAGATTAGTTGCGATCAAAAGCGCTTATTTTTCACCGTAAGCCTATACATCCTTTCATTTTTCGCGAACACTCCCTTTAACAACAACCTGAAACTCTTAGATATAATAATCTGAAGGTTGAATTAGGGTATCTGCCTAAAATTCAGTTTTTAGACGAGAATAAGAAAAAAGAAATTTCGCACAGTCGTCTCTGAGGTTTCATCCTTTATGGGTAACCCTGTGTATAATCTTGATATACATATGATATATTAACAAATATTTTTCGTCGGCAAAATAGAAGATTTAAATTTAACGATATAAATATAAACCCCATGCACTACAGTTTGTAATAAAAAAGAACTGATCCAGCTCTTATCTTCTAATCCCTACAGCATTACAACCTGAAGTTGTAGACCATCAGGTTGCAAAGATGTAGGAATCAGAAAATTAGAGCTGGATCAGTTTCTTTTAGGTATCCAAATGAAATCATCGGATTACAATTAGAGAACATATAAAGACTAGAAAGATGTAAAATTAGGTACTAAATGTTCTTTCCAGAAAACTGATTATCTATTAAACTTTTTTGATTTCAGCAAAATTATGTTCCGATACACGTGGTAAATGAGAGATACTTTCAAAAAGTTGTTCAAAATGCAGTCTATTTTTCTCTTAAGAATAACAAAAATTATCGATTTTCTTCAAAAGATTGAATTTTCTTTTAGTTAAAATGTTTAAGATGCAGCCAGTATTGTTTTAAAATTAGATTCGCGAATGAATACCACAGTGTAAATCAAATAGCGATAAGTCTTTTTCTATTTGAATTTAACTGAGAACTTTAATCGTGACAAGGAAAAAGGTTAATTTTAAAAGTATTTTTGAAATCGGTAAGGCTAAAAGGCCTCACGATGTGCTAAATTAGTAGCGTAAGAAAGTCAGAAAAAATTTACGAAAAAAATAATCGGATCAAAAAACTACAAAAATGTTTATTTTAAAATTATCTTGGAATTATGATGTCCCGTGGTCTCATGTTAAATGGCTAGCCCTGTACGTTACACTATGTTTAGTATGAATAATAGTAAATATAAGGAGGATAAAATCTGCTTGGCTGTTGTATTCTACAGTTGACCCAACAACACCACCACCAACAACAGCAACAGGACCAACAACCCCCTGGACGGGTAAAAAAAGTCCTACAGTTCTCTTCATCAGATCCGTCTCGGCAATCAGCTCTACCATCACAGATTTGCTGGGGCAGGATACACACTCCTGGATATACAGTTTAATAGATACTAGGAGATAAAGGAGTAGGGAGAATATAGGAGTAGGAGTAGGGTTCAGGGAGAATAATGAGTAGGAGTGGGGTTCAGGAAGAATACAAGAGTTGGAGTAGGGTTCAGGGAGAATAATGAGTAGGAGTGGGGTTAAGGAAGAATATAGGAGTAGGAGTAGGGTTCAGGGAGAATAATGAGTAGGAGTGGGGTTCAGGAAGAATATAGGAGTAGTAGTAGGGTTCAGGGAGAATATAGGAGTAGGAGTGGGGTTCAGGGAGAATATAGGAGTAGGAGAAGGGTTCAGGGAGAATATAGGAGTAGGAGTTCAGGGAGAATAAAGAATGATGATAAGGAATAGAAAACCATTTTTAAACCTGTTAAGTTTGCAGCCTGATGTCATAAATCTTTGATATTGCAAATCATAAATACTGTTGGATCAAATGGTCAACGTTTCGATTTACACCATCAGGTTGCAAAGATATAGAGATTCGGATAAAAAATAAAATCTGCATACCGTCGCACTCCTTTTCATTCTCAGCACAGAGAGGACAATTAGTCTCGTCGGACAAATCTCGACATTGAAATACATCATCACATCTATACACAGGTATCATCATTATTTTAATACTCATTCATTTTCAGGAACTTTCAAGTGCTCCTCCTTAAACAAGCCGTCCCCCCCCTCCCCCTCCCCCCGATTTACGAAAAGTTCGTTAATTAGTTCGACCCCCACCATCACTTCATACACATACATGACAACAGTTTTTTTTAACCTTTGTGACAGAAACAATATCAAGGAATAATAATTGTCTTAAAACATTTTTTTTTTAAAGTGAATATTTGAAAATTATCTGATAATCTGAGTTCGTTCCCCTTATGTCCATTTGACAGCTCAAATTTTTATTTTGAATAATCTTTTTTGTTTGTTTATCTTCTTGTTATTTTTAACAATCTTTTTTTTATAAATTTTTTCTCGATTTTGATGGTTATTATATCGTTAGAACTGACGAGGGTCAACCCAGACCGAAGTATATTTTCAATAAATGTGGAACTAACATCTACTTTTTTACTCTACAGAGGTGTGGTCCATCACCATCACCGAATTTTAAAAGTGCCCCTTTATTTGAAGATTTCCATACCCAATTCAGAACGGTACTTTAGAATGTAAACCCGATCTGTTAATTAATCTGGAGATTAAATTCATGAGGAGAACAAGCAATATTTAATCTGGAAATTAAGAAAAAGAGTGGATCAAGCATTAATTCCGATATCCACCATTTTAAAGTTTCCAGCTCAGGTTATTTTTATATCCGAAAAAATAAAATGTTAAATTAGGGTTCTCTGCGATTTGCGGATTTGT